GTGACACACGTGGTGACACACATGTCGTGCCACACCGAAGCCCGTCCCTTGCTGCCCCAGCCCCAGCGCTCTCCCCCTGCCGAAGCCCCTCCCGAGCTGCGCCAGTCCCGGCTGGGCAGGGAAGGAAAAGAGAAAACAGAAAGGAAACCGAGCCCAGCCATTGCTCCCACAATTTAAGGGTTGTTTTTTAGCACCGGGGTGGTTTCAGTGCGGGGCTGGAAGAGGGGAAGGGAAACAGGGATTTTGTTTTTGTGGAAGTTTCCTGATCAAACTCTCAGCTTGCAGAAAATTGTTCACAACAGCTCTGAGGGCAGGGGAGCTCCCGTGAAACAACACATCCTTCAAATATATTCCACAAATTTAATACTTGGTAATATCTAAGGGCTAAAGAGGATTAGGATTTTTTTTTTTTTTTATATACAATGAATTTTTTTTTATACAATGAAATAAATATTATTTTCTGTAAAACAGATTTCCCCTTTTATAAGGGAATGTGACAAGTGAATTTAAAAATCCACCTGAATTTGCTCATCTCTCCTTACAAACCATATTGCATGTTTTTAATGTGATAGACTGATCAGATGCAGTCATTTTAAAGTATCTGTCAAAATTTTGGTACATGATATTTTTTTTTTACTTTTTAAAGATTAATTAAACTGCTTTTATTTAAAGTGCTGCACTTTCAGGAGGAGTAGAATTAATTCCAAAATATTTTTAGAAATATTTTTGAAATTTAAAAAAATCTAATTAGAATACTTACAGTGACAAAAAACCCACTCTTTTCTTAGTATCCATAACACTGCTGTTCTCTTGAAAATCTCTCTCTCTGTGAAAATTTTAAAATTTGTATTTCCATGCTGAAGATTTAAACTTATTGCCAGTCCAAGTTAAAAATCTACCACTCTAAAAAATATTTCACTTGCTGTGCAGCAATGTCACAAGGGAGCTGAAAAACCTAAAGCAAAAAGCAGCAAATCACTTACTAATTTTCAAGTTAGCAAAAACTTCTTTATAATTTTGCTGTTTCTAAGAAAAACTATGCTTCTGGGTTATAGATTAATTTTTATGCTGCATAAAAATGAGCAAAACCTAAAATAATCTGACTCTTGGAGAGCCTCATTGTTCAGGGCTGTATTTTGTAAAAATTGAGGACTATACTGAATTGCATTGTGCTATATTGTAAAAACACAAAGTTTTATAAAATCTGGCAGTTGTGTAGGCTTCAAAAACATGTTTAGCAAAACTGCAGGAGAGAGCCTTAAGAGAACAGGGTTATTGTACATAACAAATCCTCCCAATTCTTCATTTTAGGTCCTCAACCAAACTGTTACACCATTTATCCCTTTACTGAAATGAACACAGCCTTTCTGTAAACAGAGCCTATGACTTTACAGCTTCCCCCATTCTAAGGAGATCTCTTGAATAAAACTGTTCCTAGATTTCTTTTCATTTTCTTGATTTTTTTGCTTTCTTTCAAATACTTGCATATTGTGTGTAAACACTCATGAATTTATTTGTATTATTATAGTCTTTTACCAGAGGCCAAAACCTACAGGCACATTTCATTGCTTCAAGTTTGAAGAAGATGTACCTAAACTACCTGAATCCATATTAATTTTACAATCACTAATTTGAGATGCTGTGATTCCAGGTCTTGCAAAGAGCTGAGTTCATGTTGCCTGTGCAGAAAAGCAGAACTAAGAGAATTTTTCCATATAATCAGTAGTCACTGAAACACTTTCAAAGTGCAGGTTCCCACCTTGTGTTCCTCTTGCTCTAAAGGTATGACACATTTATCTCGTTTTTTTAGGCATGTCTGCTTCATCAGCACTAAGGTAATACTGCCAGTTTGCTCAGCTGTAATGCAGTAACAAAGCAGGAAATGCAAATCTCTAGAACATCATTAAAAGAGAGGCAGAAGCCATGGAAATGGAAATAACAGTTGTGTATCACTGTGTGTGCTCAAACATATTTATTCCTCCTCCCTCACCAGGGATGCTTTTCTCTGATGTGTCTGATAGACACAGCAGAAGGCTTGCACAGAAGGCTGAGAGCAGCCCATGGAGGAAAAGAACAACCTAAAAACATCTCAGAGCTGTGACTTTAGTGCTGACAAGGGGAAATCTCAGCTGGTGCCAGGAGTGCCTGCTCCTCTGGGCACCGTGCACTGAGTGAGCACTGCAACCAGGACAGAGCTCAAAACTGGGCATGAGCACCTCTCTGCACCCAGAACCAGCACAGCAGGAGCCTAAGAGCTCATGTCCAGAATTTTAGAGGTAATTTCAGCTCACCTTTCATGAAGATGCACCAGCAGTGTTTGTTCTTTGCTGAAAGGTTAATGCACATTTGCCTTTCTCTTTTATTGCCTTTTATTGGGGGGTTTATTGTCTGGATTTTGGGTAGTTTGATTTATTTTTTTTTAAATGAAGTCTAAATTTTTTATAGAAAAATTATCTAACAGCTTACCTAAACAATCCTGGCAGCTATATCACTCACATACAGAAAGCATTTACAAGTGGACCTTCATTATTTCCTCTTGTGTTAAAAACCAAGAATTTCCTCAAGAACTTCCTTAACTGGGCTTCCCATCCCATGCCTTGCTTGGGGACATTTCACCCACACTCCAAGGAATATCCTGATTATCAAAGCTCTCCTCTGACACCATCAGGAGCCCTGGTTCTGTTCACTAGGACAGATCACTGCTGTGGAGCCATGCTGTCAAAATAACTTACCTTTCACAGGCATTCTCCTTGACATTGTTACACGGGGAATTATTCCAGGCAAAACCACCACGAGCCAGGAAAGAGTTACTACAATGCTTTCTTTGCCTGTAAGAAAAAAGAAATTATTTGGGACCACTTTTAGCACAGAATCGGTTCCAGTAGACTGACTCCAAAAATAGGAGGCAGCTGCAGCTGGGCTGCTCCTTCCTCTCATTTTCCCCTGAAGCAGAAAACCTGTAAGCAGGAGCAGTGACACTCAGCCCTTTTGGAGAGGTGCTGAGCACAGCACAGCTGTGCCCAAAAATTGCCTGGAAAACACGAGGGGAGGATGCAGGAGCTGCATCAGTCGCAGGCAGCAGCTCTGAGCAGCTGCAGCTCTGCAGATGTTTGGGCAGAGCGATGCTGGGCATGTTCAGAAACTCCTCTAAATCAGATCAAACTGCGAAGACTGAACCTCCCCTGTCCCGACTTTCGTAAAAGCCTGGGCTAAGATGCTCTACCCCTGCCACAGGAAAACTTTTAGCCCTCAACCTGCAGAGATTTTTAGACGTTGTAACGTTTGATCCGAGTGCCTTACTGATGGGAAGCACTGCTGGTGCACTGGCCAAGCAGCACAGAAACTCACGGCAACAGAGAAGACACGACTTTGCTCCTTGCATGGAAATGGGGACAGCTTGGGACACACATGTGCAGACTCTCCTGCTCAGTCAGCTAACAGAAAATAGAAATTCTGCTCTGGAATCAGCACTCAGCACTTACAGGAACATAACAATACACAACAATGACAAAGACATCCAAATTATTGTACAACAGTAAAAATAATCGTGGAAAGTACAAGTTCAGTTAACATTTGGCAAGAGCAAATTAATGTTATTGTTTTAATTAGTTTCCTTTTCAGTTCATGAGTTGACTTCATAAAGCTGTTACTCTTTTTTGATAGACAAAAACGTTCACAAATGCTCACATTCTGCAAAAGCAGCAGAACATTAAAAGCCTTTTCTCTTAAAAAAAGATGGGTTTATTCATCTAGTTATAAACCAGCATATTAGTTTAAAAATAACCTAGGAAACTATGTCTTTCTGAATTGTGATTTTGCCAACACAAAGAAATAGCTCATATATTTATCTATCATTACAGCCTGGTTATGGGAACTAGAAAAAGGAATGCAGTGATAGGAACATTAACCTTTAACAATGGTTGAGCTATAAGCCATTCTTGTTCCAAGAGTCCAGTTGCACAATGAGCCTTTTAATGATAGCTGAAAATGTCTTTTCTGATAGCAGTGTTTACAGAATCAGCTTGAGATGACATCTCCTTTTCTATTTCTCAGGCCCCAGTGAAGCAGGGGCAGGAATGGCCCTGCCTGGGGGGGGATCAGCCTCCATGGGCTCAGAGAAATGAGAAATGAGAAATGAGAAATGAGAAATGAGAAATGAGTCAGCAGGACTTGTGTCAGCATTTCCATGGAGCAGCTCAGCATTCCCTGTCCCCAACACTGCACAGCATCTCCTCCCCTCTCCTTGGGCCACAAAGGAGCTTGGATGTTTTTCTATCCCGCTTCCCCCTGCACATTCCCCATTTATTTCCTCGTGAACCTTCACACTTTGCTCTCACTTCCTTCCCACACCCCAAAATTCCCAAGCAGGCTCTGATCATCCTCACACACAGACACGCTGCTGCAGCCTTCAGACGTGCTGTCACACCTGAAAAACTCAGTGTTGAAGAAACAGTTCTTCACTTCCAAAAGGCTGGGCTGTAATCACTTCAGGAGAAAAAAAAAAAAATCTCTATTTCTTGTAATGGGAAATGAAGGAAGTCACACGAAGTTAAACAAAAAGAAATGGTATTGCTTATCCCAATTAAAATAATTCTTCACATGTGTGATCATTTGCATTCAGAAATGTAAAACAAACAAATTTGAAGACATGTAAATTTGTCACATTTAGGCAGGTCTCATCATTGTATTTACATATGAAGGCACATTGGAGATTAATTGCAAAAGTTTTCTCTTTTTTTAATGTTTTTTGGTCATAGGATTTAGTTGGGGAAACCTGATGTGTTCAGGACTCATCTGTCTAGCATATATGTCAATAAAAATAAATGCTGGCTTTCAAATTAGCTACACAATATTGCCTGAAAAATAAATAAAAAAAATCTCATTTTAGTCCTGAAGACAGAACTCCTTTACCAAGTTACCAATGCAAAGCTCAGTAAAGGACAGAAGGTTTGATATTTTCATTTGCTGTGGTTCAGAGCTGTGCTGCAGTTTTGAACTGCTGGCTATGAGTTGGATTCACAGAATTATTCCACCACAATCAATTCCTTAGGAGGGAACTGAACGTGGTTGCAGATGTGCCCAGATGTCCAGAGCAGCTGCCACACATCCTGGAGGAGCCTGGTCCTGAGAGCAGCCTCAGAGGGAGCTGAGCTGCAAAACATCTCAGATATTCTTCTTACAAATCAGAACTTCTATAGGAGCCAGCACCAACTTCTAAACCAGCACCAAGGTCCTGGAGAGCTTTGATCTCAGGATCAAGACTCTGAGAAAAAGGGAATTCATCATCTGGGTTACAGTCCTTGAGCTCTGTGGGCTGGTATTGCTGACAATCATACACTCCCACCCTACAAAATGAATAATTTCTGTATTTAATGCAGCAGCTAATATTCTAGGACTGATTTACTGTACTCAGGGCTGCTCCTTTGGAGCACAGATAGATGTTTGGGATAAATGTTTACAAATCCAGAAAACAGCACGTTATAGCTTGGATTTTTTCATTCATTCTGTGATTTTTTGGTACTAGATATGCTAGCCAAGAAATATTAAGCAGAAACACAAATTCCCTTTAAATGTTACCGTGCTTTCACTGATAATATCTCAAATAAGTTGCATTTAGAAAAATAAATTATAAAATCACATTCTCCATCTACACACCCCAGGGTCTCTTGTCCTTTTATTGGATTTAGCTGGCATGGCTTGGAATTTCTCACAGCTTTTGAAATAAACCACATCTCAAATATTTCTTGATTTTTTTTGGCATCAAACATCACCTCTTTTGGTACTGTATCAAATTATACCAGGGGACATTTGACTATTTCTTGGTGCTTTACCTGATTTATATATCAAGGTTCATATTTGATCTGGGTTCAAAGTGTGTCCACACTCCTAATATGACTCTAAAAAAATCCAAATATTTGCAGGTTTTTAACCTGTCGAGCATTTTTCACCAGAAAACCTGCCCAGCTGCCAAGATGGTTTCTGCATTTTTAACACATCCAAAGGTAAAAACAAACTAAAATGCTTGAGCATAGTAACAATACAACATTACCAGACACTGAAACATTGCTGTGACTCGAGTTTTTCCTCAATGCAAATTTGTTTGAACAAATTTTAAAAATAAAACCCAATCAATTTTAATATCATTCATGTTTCTTCTTGGGGACACACTGATAGAGAGCAGTCACCTTTATGCATTAACAAAGCATCAGACCACACAAAATGAGCAAATTATACACCAGAAACTTTCTGCTGGTTGGTTGGTTGGTTGGTTTTGGCCAATTTTTATGCTTAAATTATTCTGAAAGAGAAGAAAACCTGCTGGGTTTTTCAACTGGGGCTATTTGCTGTGGCACCAATACTTTTTTTGAGCATAGCCATGATTCTGCATCTATTTTGTCATGATTTATATTTTTATTTCTCTGTGGTTTTGTAACTAAGTAATGGAATAATATGGGATCTCTCAAGTGTACAAAATTATAGATACAAGTCATAGATGTAGACATTAAATCCAAATGATTAGCTAATTAACGTGTTTAAGAAAATGGTAATTTTCAGGATCAGGTCCTTTGGGTTTATAATTACAATTATAACAAACTCAGTCTTTCCTGGGCACCTCATGGTCCTGACCAGTACAGTTCTGGTGCTCAGCAGCACCATGAGGTCTTAGAAAAGCTTGCTTTTTATTTATTTAAATTTTTTTTTGCATACTTAGAAGATTTTGCATATTTTTTCCCCCTTATCTGTATCATTCCAGGCCACATTTTCAGGTATAAATTTTGGCCCCAGGAGAAATCAGCTGACTCACAAGGAAAAATAAGGCTCTTAAGTACAAAATGAGAAATTAAATAGCTCAAGAGCCCCCTTTTTGTTGGTTTCTATATTCATCTTTTTGTGGTGGATGGAGTTTTTCAGTGGAATGTGTCCTGCTATGGAATCTTTTACCCAAGGATCTTTATTCTCCCTGCACTCACCAAAGGATGCAGAAATTAATGACATTCATAGCCATGCTGGGGTCTGTTAGTAAAACCAAATCTGGGAATTAATTTGGAGGTATGGGACTCTGCTCTAGCTAGATGGGACCAAAAGAAATTTGCAGTTGCTGGAAATCTGCATTTAAATATTTCAAAGTTCTGTGTTGATTTTTAAGGGTTGAAAGAACAGTTGCAATCAGCAAAAAAATGTTCATAACGGGTCACAAGGAATATTTTGCCAAACCATAATATGGGTTTGACAAAGCCTTTAGCAGTGTCTTGTATTTAATCACACTTTCTATCATTCTGCAGAATAGCTGTGCTCAGACATTGGAAATCACACTGGAACCTTAACACTAAATCAAGTTATCATTGAGGGAATTCTGACTGTGAAAGCAGACTTGCTGTTAGTTTTGACAATTGGACTCATTTTCAGATGTTTCATCTAAATCCAGGATGCTGTGCTGTTACAGGGTGCTGCTGTGTGAGCCAGGAAATCCTGAAAAAGGAAAGAGAGACCTGCACCATCCATTACAGAGCAGCCAGGCAAAGGGAAACTCCCTGCTGCTAAACCTTTCCCCAGAAACCCCAAAAAGCAAACCCAGCCTCATTCCAGTGCTGTGGCAGCTTTAGGAATGTCCTGGGTGATGGATTGAGCTGAACTGCTGCATCCCAGCCCCTCAGAGCACTGCCCCAGCCCACAGCCTGTGTGTGCAGCCCTGGAAAGGGCTTTTAACCCTTTAAATGCAGCAGAAATAAGATGCACAGCTCCATGGCCGTCTGTCAGGATAGAAAGAGCCAAGTTTATTCACAAACACACTCGGGTTTATAGCAGGACTGCAACTCCCAGAGCAGAGAAAAGGAGATTGGTTCAGAGAGAAGACACCCCATGGCCAGGGCCTGGGCACACACCACAGCAGGGGTTTGATTTTGTTATTAATTCCTTTTTATTGTGACCAAATTATCACCCTGTCAGAAATTCTCCCTAGCCTTGAGCTGGACCAGCTCATGGGCTGGGAACAGAGCTGAGAAGCTCCAGCCTGGAATATTTTTCAGGCTGTGATTTTCTTACTTTCTCAATATGTGTCCCACAGCCTGTCCCACAGCCTCACCTTTCCTAGAGCACTGCTTCCACATTTAATTGGCAAAGTTGTTTTATGGGAAGAACTGACATATAATCCCTCTGATGACCTGAGGTGAAGCAGGCAGAAAACAAAGTTTTAATCAGCTAAAATGTATTTCTGTTTCATTTTGTTTGCAGTAAATTTGTTTCCTCCCGATTTGACCTCAAAGCTTCAGGCAAATAAAAGAATTAGATTATTTTATATGTAAAATTATATATTTTTCTCATTTAAACAGCATCAAAACAGATTTTTGACTGCCTTTGAGATCTTCTTTCTTACAATTCAAGGATGATTATATTGGTTCATGCATTACATTCTGGGAGATAAAAACAGAGACAGAAAAGGAGCAATAGCCAAGCAAACCCAAACTTGTAAATCTCTGTGTCTACAGACTTTAAAAGTACAGAGAAAAAAATGGTCATAGGCTGTGAGCCAAGTTAAAGCACTGTGATGCAACTTGTTGTGAAGCTTTCTGACATGCACAAAATAAAATTTCAAAAGCAGGGCGTGTTTGAAAGCTTCATCAGGCAAAATGGCAGCGATGCCTGAAGTGGTGCTGAAAGGTTTTGATGTGCAGCTTCAGTGCCTTGGCCACTACAAGCACAGAGCCAGGATTGCCTCACATGCTGAACTAACATCAGCATGGATTTAGGTAGCAGAGGCACCTGCCAGCCTAATCCAAGATCCATGAACTGGATGAGTTTGGCACGATTTGATATTTGCATCGTGAAATCCAGAAATGGAGCTGACAGAAGGTTGGCAGTGCAGGGTGACCCTGCTGGGGGCAGCAGGATTTGATTGCTGCCTGTTTGCACAGCAGGCAAACAAACCCTGATCTCTCCCAGGCTCCTCCATGTGGTTCCCCCCATGTCACAATACGTGCCAAGAGAAAATGCTTGAAACCCAAATTTCTGGGTTTGCTGTCTGCAGGCTCCCACAGCAATGACCCCCAGCACCCCCCAGATATTTGCTCACTTGATCACCTGCTGCTAAGGAAGCAGCAAGCACTCCCCTCCTCATCAGTCCTCCAGAACACTCAGAAATTTCATGGAACGAGCCCCAGAGCTGTTTGGGGTTTACAGCTGCCCAAAACAAACACAGATGCAGAGCATCAAGAGTTTTTATGCCCTTCTCCTATGGATAGAGCAAAGTCACTTGCAGAACTGAGGTCTAGGTCCGTGTGTACCTCACCTGGCACCCAAACAACACCAGGTTCAAGAATGTTTGGGCTCTGGATCTCTGCAGAGTCTGTTCTCAGAGAAAGCACCCATTGCTCACCATCAGGGAAATGGAAATTCCATCAGATAAAATGGTTCTCCCATTCAGCACACAGAAAAGGCCTGAAGGAACAAAACAAAAGCTTAATAAAGAGCATAAAGAAAATGAACAGGAATTCCTCTGGGCTGAATGCTAGAACAGAGCCAGAACTATTGAAATGCCCGGAACCCAGGCAGCGCCCAACTGGTTCACAAGTTCATTCAGGCCAGGGAAAGGGGGAAATGGGCTCAGATGCTTCTGTCAGTTTGAAGAATATCTGTGGGGCTTTGACAAACAAGATGAATGTTCTCATTCAAATGCACCAGCAGTTATTTAACTTACTTCCCCTGAATGTCTGGACTTCAAGCGCCTGAAAGACTGAAATATTTTGTCCCACAAGCATTTCTGGTTTACTGATTTATTTGTGTTCTACCCTGACCCTTTCTCAAAGGAAGATTCCTGTTTGGAGCATCCATGTGTGTACACGAAGCAGGCTGTCCAAGCAGGTTTTCCTCAGGGCCTTTGCCAGCAGGTGCTTCCCCTGGTTTACACTGGTTTAGGGTTGTTCATTCTCTTTGGGGAAGTTCTCAACTGTGGGCCTTGCTGAATAGCAACCTAAGCAAAACCTCCCCTGGGCTGCCTCTCCTTTTTGATTTTAGCTGGTAAACATAATAAGGCATCTGAAAAGAACCTGAATGTTTTCCTTGCATAAATGCAAAATTCTCTGTCTTTTACTGACACACAGACAATTGAATATAGAAAAGAACAGAACGAACTATAGAGAAAGTTGCAGAAAGAAACGTTTCTAATAAATGATGTCTCATTATAAGACTAAGCCTCTAACTTTTTAGGAATATAAAATATTTATATTCGAACCTGGTAGCAATTTTACTAACACACAATTCTGAAGAATGGCAATTCATGTTCATTTTTCAATGCATCCTTCTCTCAGCAAGGACTGTCCTGCATGGATCTAGATTCAAAGCTCATTGCCAAGTACCAGTCACATCCCAGACCAGTGAATTCACCTGGAAAGGCAGACTGACAGAACAAATTATACCATTAATCCACAGCACACTTCAGCAGACATCCTTACACAGCCACTGATGGGACAGAGATCAGGCTCAGGCTCCCTGGCTTAACTTAAGCCCTGAAGTTGGGCTTGGCCCAGAAAATCCTCTGTTTTTCATCTCCACAGAGGAAAGCCAACACCATCTTTCACATGGGCTCAGTGTTGTGAGAGTTCCCTTTTTATAAATGCCCAGAGTCACTTCAGGGTTGGTGCTAAATAAAGCAGGCAGCAAAAATGTAAACTACTGGCTGATGTTTTGTTTTGCTCCAAATAGCCACCAGGAAAAGTGAAACGTTTCAGAATCCCCAGAGCACGAGTGGAAAAGAGTCTGCACTGTAGCTCTGTCTTATTTTGACCATGAGCCATTCCCAGAGTGCACACAGCACTCCTCAGGCAGTAGCTGGGTGACCCGGCATCGATGTCACCTCTGAACTTCTCACCATGTTCCCAATTTTCCAGGGAACAGAGAGCAGGAAAAGCTCAGCTGACATTCCATTCTGCTCACTGAGGAAAGCACTAGCTGAATTTGTTTGCTGCAATTCCTGTCTAAACTTTAGAAATATTGCACTCTGGCTGTGACTGTGGAGAGAAAGTGTGAGGGATAAGAAATCCCCTCCCTTTCCACATCACGTATGAGCTGCAGCAAGCCTGGAGCTCCAGTGCCTGTTGTGATCCTGCCCTGCAGCTCCCAAACCCTCCAGTTCTTGTGCTCTCCTTGCACTCTGGGCTCATTATTTCGAGTTTCCTCTCCGACAAGCAGGGTCAAAGTCTGCCCTCATTCCCAGTGCCATTACTCTGCAGCTACCCCAGAGATCTCTGTGACATTGTGACAAGCTCCCACCATGTTGACCAAGAAGGAAAAACTGCCTCCTGTAAATGATGTGAGAACATCATTCACAGAGAAACAGGGCATTAATTCCAGGTTCTGCTCGGGTCAATGGGAGTTCTGTCACTGGTTTCAACAAAAACAGGATTTGGTGCCTGAGCAAGCCCAGTGAAGTCAGGATCTATCCATTTGGCAGGAGAGCAACCTCTGCTTCCAGCTACTGCTACTCAAATCCTTTTATTTCAGTGTTATCACACACTCCCTAATTCATTCTCAGGAGGTCTCCTACACAAGAATTTTTTAGAAGGCAGTGCTCAGTGGTACCTTGTGCTTATGACTGGAATACAACTAATACTTTCATTTATTTCAGCACTGGATCCACCTACTGTATTTTATGTGAGGAAGGAAAAATAATTTTAACTAGCCCTCCTCTCCCTTCCTCTCAGTGGAAACAGTGATGTATTTAACACTCTTCTGTGCTGTGTCAGCCATGGCAATGCTGTCAGCACAACAACCTGAGATCTTTGTGCTGACTGATCCATGAGAACTAAGAGAGCTTGGATGGAATTGTGCTAATAGTTCGGCAGTTTTTAAATAGAAAAAGATATTATCCACAAAGAGTCATTTACTGGAGAAACTGACTCTCTTCCTTAATCGAAACTCCCAAAATTAATTGCTAGTTTTCTGTTCCCTTCAATGAACCTAGAAACTCATCTGGGCTCTGAAGTTTAACAGCATTAACTATTCTGATAAAGCAGAATTCTTCAACTGTGCTGGGAAAAATGTAGTAATGGATAAAATCATTTGGCTAAAAGTGCTCAGCTAATCACTAATTAATTATTCTGTTTCTCTAGAACAGCTCTTGTTCTATTTGACAGCTGATCTTCTCCTGAAAGGAAATGAACCTTGAAGGAACACTGCAAATTTAATTGTGCCAATTAGTGACTCCTGGCAAAATCCTAGTGGCAAATTGTTAATATCTCATGAAGAAAATGAGTTCTCAGTCTTAAGAGGTGCCCATGGCACGTCTTTAAATTATCTGTTAGCTACACAAATATTATTTGAACACATTGCAAATTTAAGAGTAGTTGATGACAACAAAAAACTTTTTTTTCTTTTGTGTTCTATTTGTGTTCAATTCCACTGTGATCTGCCCCGTGCCCCTGAGAGCAGGATCAGCACAATAAGAGCTCCCTCCTTGACACCATGTGCAACCCTTGATGAATTTATTTTAGACACAGAGACTGATTTCTGTAGTGAGGGCAAAATGGGCACAATGAGCAGTGGAAAACTGAGACATCTGCATTCATGGATTATTCAATCTACTCTGAAAAATCTGAGCAAGATTATGTAAAAACATAATTCTCTAATTTTTTTTCTTCTTAACATATTTATTTGAATTTCAGAATAGCCCACTAATATCTCCAAGAGGGATACAGAGAGACTTTTTTTACAAAGAGTTTAAAGTCATGCTTGTAGAACCTCAGTTCACTAATATCCATCATTTTGGCATCTGAATGTCACTAGGCTCAAGACACCAAGTCCTGATTTAAGTTCATACCAGGTTATTGTTTGCACATTCTCTGCAGGCTGTGCTGGACATAGAACACAAAATGTAATGCTGAGTAAGCTCAATTCCAAGCATAAGAAGGTACCCACATCTTGAAAAGGCCTAGAAGGTTTTGGTTTTTTCACTAATGGGAAATATCAATGAAAGAGGATTAAAACTTCATTTGAAATCTCTTAATGGAGATATCGCAAGTTGCAAATGCATTCAGTCCAAACTGATCAAAATCCATGTCTGGATGTGTTGAAGGGGAATTCTGAGGAGAAAAGAAAACATTGGAATGCTAGAAAGCAACAGAAATTATTAGATCAACATGCTGTCAAAGTTGATTCTGTCAAAAAAAACCCAAAAACCCACAGTTCACTGCATGTTACAGTAATCCTGGGACAAAAGGACAAGCTTGTAGTTTAGTGCTTTTCTGAGAGAAAATAATGCTGTGTTTGATGATGATTAATACCTACCATATATTTGGCAGGCCAATCTTGATCATTTTTCCTCCAGCAGCTCACAATCCTCTCCCTCAGGGATGTGTTTGTCAGCACATCACCTAATGATAACCTGATAGCTGAAGCTGCTCTTCAACAGAATCTGTGACAGGACAAAGTGCCCATTTTCATGTGTCTGCATCTCTAAGTGTTACAGGGGGCAGATCTCCAAGTAAGCTCAGAAAAAGGAGGAGATAAAGAACGTGGTGTGATGGGTAGAAATCAAATGGACACAGAGTAGTGAATAATGGGATGAAACAACGTGGGAGATTTGTCCTCATAGGCTCGTCCTTCCAAGAAACAGAGGGGGCTGGAGATCAGTGAGGACATCGGAAAATTCAACTTCCAAATGCTCTTGGATGCTTCTCAAGGGAAATAAGGAGCTGCAAATAGATGTGAGGACAAATGGCCACAAGTCTTCAGGAGGTTTTTTCCCCACCAGGAAATGATGGAATATTATTTTTGGGCAGCAGGCCAGGGCAGTCCTCACCACAGGCAGTTCTAATGCACTGAGGTATAGGGCTGGGAGTGTAAATGCAGAGATGGCAGAAACATTGAAGAAAAGGAGAAGTGTGAGCCAGTCTCCTTCCCTGAGTATCCAGGAGTCAACACGGGAAGATGGAGCCCACACTCACAAACAAGGAAGGGCTGAAGGTCGGGGGCAACTCTGCTGCAGTGACCACGAGATGAGGGAGTTCAAGATCCTGCAAGAAGGAAACAAGGCAAAAAGCAGACAAAGCAAAAAAGGATTTCACATGAGGAGAGGATTTTCCTGCAGGATCTGCCTGAGAGAATCCCATGGCAGACAGTCCTGGGGGGGAAGGGAGACCTGGGATTAATCCTCCAAGCCTTGGTCTGTCCTGACAGGAGAACCAGCAGCATGGATCCTGCACGGATGGACAAGATGATCCTGGTGACTTCAACACGAAAATAAAACAGGCAAGAGGGAGAAGCAGGGATATGTGACTCAGATGGAACAATGACACTGTTTGAGTGTGCAGGTATCAGGTGAGGAAAATCAAAATACCGAGCTGAACATGAGACAGCAATGTGCCCTTAAAGCAAAAAAAGCCAAAATTGCCCTGGGTTACACCAGCAAGTGTTGCCAACAAGATGGAGAGAAGTGATGCTTCCCTCCAGTGGGGAGTGGTGAGGCCACACCTGCAGAGCTGTGCTGGCACAACAGAGACACACTGAGCTCACCAAACTCCACGAGAAAATTGGAGCATCTGTCATAAAAAAGGATGAGATAATTGGAACTGTTCAGCCTGGGGAAAAAAAAAAAAAAGTCTCAGGAGGAGATTGCCAGTATGGGAGAATCTTACCCCATGGAAGACAGCAAAGAAGACTGGAGTGAGTCTCACACAGAAGATTCCATTTAAATGTAAGTTAAAAGATTTTTACTGCAATACAAATAATTCAGTGGCTGCCCAGAGAGGCTGCTGAGCCTCTTTCCTTGAGGATGCTGAACTCTACAGGAGACAGCCCTGGGCAGCATCCTGCATCTTCAGCAGAGAGGGAGCACTGGCAGATGTCCAGAAGTGCCTCCCAACCTGAACTGTTCTGTGATTCTCTGAATGTTTTTCTCCTCTGTGATTCGGCTGTAGCAAACATTTAATCTGCTTTCAAGTTTTGAATCCTTATTTACACAGGTGGACCGACACAGGTGCTGCAAAAGAGATAGAAATACAGAGAACATAAGCAGAAGGCTAGGCACTAACCTGTTTGTCAAAAAAAAAAAAAAAAAAAAAGTGTTTGTATTTAATAATGAAATGAAGCAGCACCACCCTCTGAAGCAAATTTGGGTGATTTTGCAACACACAATAAAAATGAAGAAGAAAAATCTAAAGTATTCAAAATCTATCAAATCAAGAAACATTCAAATGCAATTTCTGGAGACTGAGCTATAAAATTGTGAAAATGAACCATGCCTTGCACAAACAGGAATAAATGGGGAGAGAGATTGGAAGGGAATGAGGCATCTCCAACTGCACAGAGCTCGTGCTCAGGGCACAGGCTGCAGATCCAGATGTGCCAGTGGAGCAGAGGGGACAGGCTGCAGATCCAGATGTGTGTCAGAGGAGCAGAGGGGACAGGCTGCAGATCCAGATGTG